TTTGTTAGTTTTATATTAGTTTATTTATTTAATGTGATTTTATTATATCCAATATTTGTAATTCTTTAAATTATTTCAATATGGCTTAGGCTATTTTATCTAGATATGACACTATTGTTTTGAGCCTACAAAAGTCGACACGAAATTTGTAAAGTTTTATATCTTTCTGTTGTATTCATATAGTGTATTATCTCCAAAATAAATAAAAACAATAAAAAAGAAAAGAAAAAAGCCGCTCGCGGCATCAACAGAGCTATGAAGGGAGTGCTCTTTTCTAGGGTCTCACACACACATACAGGCATCTAAACGTGCACAAACACACCTTTTAAACTTGACAAATACGCTGGAAAAACTTTACTGTCTGCTGTGTCTTTAATATGGTGTAAAGATTATTATGCGCTATTGAAACATCAAGGAGGACGCAGCAAAGTCACTTATAAATTAAAACTACTTTTATGCAACAGCCTTACGTTTAAAAGAGAAACATAAGGGCGATCATACGCAAAAACAAACCAGCCTATAATTTGTTCCAGATGTTTTCTTTCCCTTATTTATTTATTTGTTTGTGTTTGGCGCATGTACTCATGTGCGATTGAAAAACTGTGCCCGTCTCTCCTTTCTCTATGCCCCGAAGCCCCAGTGGCCCTCTTTGGCTCAAGGTATTAGGCGGGCCGAAAAAAGCCGGCCGCTGGCCCCAAGAAAGCCCTGATTTGGCCCCAGAAGTGACAGTGGAAATGCGACTGGGATTGGCTCGCCCTGGTTTGCTCGCTTTAGGCGCGATAGTGGAAACGCGGCTATTGGGTCATTTCTGATCAATGACAGCCTTCCTATACTGTTTACCGCTACTCTGAATATTCGCTCTGAAATAGCATGTAAATGTGGCTTAGTAATAAATGTAATTCCTGCACGCCGCTGGCTAAATACTAACTAACTGCCGAATGACATGAACTAGTGGGTTGTCTGTCTGCTGTTGTGACGCGGTGCGCACTCGCAATTTCAGGGGGTGTGGCTTTGAATCACAGTCCATCCTCGCAGTGCAAAGATAATATGCTAAGCGGTTAGCATTTATGCAGATCACCTACTGCAACTTTAACCTAATTAACCTATTTAAGCCTTTAAATGAGACTTCAAGCTGTATAGAAGTGTCTTGAAGAATATCTAGTCTAATATTATTTACTGTCATCATGACAAAGGGAAAATAGATCAGTTATTAGAGATGAGTTATTAAAACTATTATGATTAGAAATGTGCTGAAACAATCTTTTTTCAGTTAAACAGAAATTGGGGAAAAAATAAACAGGGGGCTAGTTTTGTTTCTATGTATGTGTGTGTATTATGTTCATATATACATAATAAAAACTGTATTCAGTGGGTACAGAAATTATTCAGAATTTTTCTCTCTTTGTTATCTTACAGCCATTTGCTAAATGTTTATTTTTCTCCTCATGAATGCACACACAGCAGCCCATATTGACAGAAAAACACAAAATTGTTGATTTTTGCAGATTTATTAAAAAGTAAAACTGAAATATCACATGGTCCTTGGTATTCAGACCCTTTGTTCAGTGTTTAGCAGAAGTCCCCTTCTGATCTAATACAGCCGTGAGTCTTTCTGGGAATGATGTGAATGATGTCACTCCTGGATTTGGGGGTCCTCTGCCATTCCTCCCTGCAGATCCTCTCTAGTTCTCTCAGGTTGGATGGTAATTGTTGATGGACAGCCATTTTTAGATCTCTCCAGAGATGATTGGGTTTAAGTCAGGGCTCTGGCTGGGCCATTCAAGAACAGTCACACAGTTGTTGTGAAGCCACTCATTTGTTAATGTAGTTGTGCACTTAGGGTCATTGTCTTGCTGGAAGGTAAACCTTCGGCCCAGTCTGTGGTTCTGAGCACTCTGAAGACGGTTTTCCCCCAGGATACAGTATACCTGTGCTTGGCCACATTCATCTTTCCCGCAATCACAATCAGCCATCTTGTCCCTGCAGCTGAGAAACACACCTACAGCATGATGCTTCTACCTACACCACCATGCTTCACTGTTGGGACTATAGTGGACACGTGATGAGCAGTGCGTGGTGTTCTCCACACATGCCGCTTAGAATTAAGGCCAGATTCTCTATCTTGGTCTTATCAGAACCGAGAATTTTGTTTCTCACCATCTTGGAGTCCTTTAGGTGTAGGTGTCTGAAGAGAGGCTTTCGTCAGGCCTGTCTGCCATAAACCTCGACTGGTGGAGGCTGCAGAGATGGTTGACCTACAACTTTCTCCCATCTCCCGACTGCATCTCTGGAGCTCATCCACATCTTTGGGTTCTTCTTTACCTCTCACCAAGGCTCTTCTCATCCGATAGCTCAGTTTGGCCAGACGGCCAGCTCTAGGAAGGGTTCTGGTCATCCCAAACATCTTTCATTTAAGGATTATGGAGGCCACTGAGCTCTTAGGAACCTTAAGTGCAGCGGACATCAGCCTTGCCACAGTTCTGTCTCTGAGCCCTTCAGGCAGTTCCTTTGACCTTGTGATTCTCATCTGCTCTGTCCTGCATTGTAAGCTGTAAGGTCTTTTATGGACAGGTGTGTGTCATTCCTAATCAAGTCCAATCCGTACAATCAAACACAGCAGGACTCCAGTGAAGGTGTAGAACCATCTCAAGAATGAGTGTCACAGCAAAGGGTCTGAATACTTAGGACCATGTGATATTTCAGTTTTTCATTTGTAAATAAATCTGTAAAAATATCCACAATTCTGGGTTTTTCTGTTAATATGAGGTGCTGTGTGTACATTCATGAGAAAAAAATGAAAAAAATAAAATTTAAATAAAGGGTCTGATTACTTTCCATACCCACTGTATAAAACACACACATATACTGTACAATTTTGGATGCGGTTAACCTTTGCCAGCCACTGATAATAAATACTAATAACATTAAGTAGGTTAGTGTGGGCTCCATTCAGCTGTTGTTCTTTTTCCAAGATTTAAAATTGTAATAATAATGATTGTAATAATCAGGATACTGTACATCCAGCCAGTTGTTATTGCAGAATAAACCCTGCAGTCTTATACAACAGCTGATGATAAACTGGCCTGGTCTGCATGCTGACTGTATTATACAGGTGCTGGTTGTATAACTAGAATATCTTCAAAGATTTCTTAATTTTTAATTTTTATTTTATTAAATCCATTCAAGAAGTGAAACTTGTATTATGTATATATTGATTCCACACAGGCTGATCTATTTCAAGAGTTTATTTCATTTAATTTTGATGACAACGAATGAAAACCCCAAATTCAGTATATCAGAAAATGAGAATTTAGTGAAAAGGTTCAGTATTGAAGACACCTGGAGTCTCACTCTAATCAGCTAATAAACTTAAAACACCTCCAAAGGCCTTTAAATGGTCTCTCAGTCTAGCTCTGAAGACGACACAACCATGGGGAAGACAGCTGATTAGACAGCTGTCCAAAAGACAACCATTGAGACCATGAACAAGGAGGGCAAGACATAAATTGCAAGCAATAGGCATAACCAAACCCTGGAGAGAAATCCCATTCAAAAATGTGAGGGAGATTCACAAAGAGTGGACTGCAGCTGGAGTCAGTGCTTTAAGAACCACTATACACAGACAGGAATATTCAGCTGTCAGCTACATTTCTTGTGTTAAGCCACTCTTGAACAACAGACAGCGTCAGAAGCATCTTGGCTGAGCTAGAAAATGAATAAATGAATAAATGAACTCATTTTTAATAACTGATTTCTTTTCTCTTTGCCATGATTTATTCACTCAGTCATTTTCTTTTCAGCTTAGTCCCTTTATTAATCTGGGGTCGCCACAGTGGAATGAACCGCCAACTTATCCAGCATGTTTTACACAGCGGATGCCCTTCCAGCTGCAACCCATTACTGGGAAACACCCACACACTCATTCACACACAAACACTACGGACAATTTTTAGCTTACCCAATTCACCTGTACCGCATGTTTTTGGACTTGTGGGGGAAACCGGAGCACCCGGAGGAAACCCATGCGAACATGGGGAAAACCTGCAAACTCCAAACAGAAATGCCAACTGACCGAGGCTCGAATCAGCAACCTTCTTGCTGTGAGGCGACAGCACTACCTACTGCACCACTGCCTCGCCCACTTTGCCATGATGACAGCACACATTTGACAAGATATTCTTCAATATACTAGTATTCAGCTTAAATGGACATTTAAGTTGGGTTAATTATTGTATAACAGTGGTTTGTTCTGTAGACAATCAAAAATGTATATGTATATTAGTGTTGGGCCATTATCGGCGTTAGCATGCTGCGTTACCGCCAGACTTTTATCACACGATAAAGAAAATACCGCCGTTAATCTATTCTCAAAGTTGGGCTGGGAGCTGGGTCTGTTCTACGCAAGCTATGATGACTTTCACCTTGGTATTTCAGCGTGGATGTATACCTGACCGAATTGAGCTGTAGGGGGCGAGAACGAGTCTTTGAACCTGTGTGTATTCCTACTGTGAAATGATCACATCAAACTTGACATGCTAACATGGATGCAGTTCACTGGAGTGAATCTGATTAGTGTTAGCTTCACATCTAACCTGTAGAGTTTATGTGTTCGAGTTAAACATATACAAATAAAACGGAGCGGGTGCTTTTTAAATTAAATGACGGTTCATGGAAGTCAAACCAGTGAGCCGTCTGACAAAAAAAGTGCCCTTCTGAATCAAATCAGCAGGATGCCCTTCTGGATCTTTTACTTAATTCGAGGACACTACTGACTACGCTTACATGGACATCAGTAAACTAGTGATTTGCCTTAATAGACAATAATATAATGAAGGTGTTTACGTGAAAGGCTTCATGTAGGAGTTTCCTGTAATTTTAAGTGACTTTAACTGCAGTTTCCTTCCTTCCTTGTTTGACTTTGGCAGTTTCACTTTCACTCATGAACATTTCATTCATGCCCCCGTGACAAACTGGACTAAAAGACACAAATAAGAAGTAAGGATTAGTGAGAGTGTTATGGAGTTTAATAACGCATGCCAGATGGAAAGAAAAGAGACTTCCGCATTTTGCGATGTGTGTGTCTCTGTGTGTATCTTGTTGGAAAATGTGGTGAAAAGTCCTACATGAGGGTAATAGTTTGATTGCGGTGTTTACTTCAGTAATGCCACTAATATCTGCTACTCCATGTGTCTTATTTCCATTTCCGTTTAGTTCAGTGATGACTTTAGTCAGATTAAGGTGATCAGAAATGGCTGTTTGGAGCTTATGTAGGCCTACAGTTCAGCATTCATCTTTAACTGAATAAACAGTGAGTAAACACAAGTACATCTTATTGAGCATCATTTATTTTCATCACCAATTATCAGAGTAGAACAGTTTCTCAAGCAGTTTGTGATGCATTTTGGAAACAGGAGATGAGCCCCTGGTCTAATGCGCCACCTGGCTTGAGAAACCCGTTTTCAAAGACTTATTATTTAGGTAGCACACATATTCTGAATGGCAGGATGAAAATGAGCCATTTTAATCTAGATTAATCTAGATTAAAAATAATAATCTATGCCCACCTATAATATATACATATTTTTAAAGAGGGCTAATAATATTGACCTTAAATGCTTTTACTAATACTGTATGTTTTTAATGATATATTTTTGGAAAAAAAAACTGCTTTTATTCTAGCTGAAATAAAACAAATAAGACTTTCTTCAGAAGAAAAAATATTAGAGGAAATACTGTCAACAATTTCTGAATCAGTTAAAAATCATTAGGGAAATATTTGAGAAAAGAATAACTATAAATATAATGATTTTTTTACAACAGCTGCAAAAGGACAAGTTATATTGGGTTAATTAACCACACTGCTATAATTTCATTAATTATGACACCAAAAGCTTACATTATTATGAAGCGATCACATTTATGTAAGTGGACATGTATTATATAAGCACCACTTTTGAACACTTTAAAAAGGATGTATTAGTTCATGTTAATTAATGTATTTACTACCATAAACAAACAATGAACGATGCATTTATTACAGTATTTATTCATCTTTGTTAACATTAGTTGATAAAAAATAGTCGTTTATTGTTAGTTTATGTTAACTCACAGTTAACTAATGATAACAAGCATGAATTTGTATTTTAATGTGTTAGTAAATGTTAAACTATGATTAATAAATCCAGTATTGTTCACTCTTAATTCATATTAATTCATAACATTATTGTAGAGTGTGACACAATAAACACACAAAACCAACACTCATAAACTTTCTCTACAGAAAACACAACATTCACTGCCAGTCTTTCCCACCTAATGCATGAATTAGTCTCACCTTACTCTGTAACACGACTCACGCGAGCTGCGTGCTTGTGAACTCCTCCAGAACTAGAAGACTTGAGAGAAGCTAAAGCATGTTTGTGGGTCACTACAGACACCAGCGGCTCTCTGTAAATTAATCCAAAGCCTTCAGAGCAGAGAAAACCGGAAAGACGAGGACAAAACCAAACAAACTCTTCTAACACATGATCTTCGAGAGTCCGTCCTGAAGCAAACACTCAAACAAACAGTAGCAGCGGCGGGAAAAACACAGATCTGAGCGCGTCTTACCTGCGGACTGAAGCACAGATGAACGCACACACTCGGCCTGTGTTCCTGCTGTCTGCGTGCCGCTGCATGTTCACTGCGCAGGGAGCGTCTCCATCCGTCTGAGTCACTCGTATAGTGTTGTGGATCCTTGTTCACTTAAACCTCGGTATTCTGGAGGACATAAACAGCACATTGAAGATCTGCTCGGGTGTTTTGCAGGCGCACAGCTGACTTTAAAGGAATGCTTTACTCAGAAAGTGAAAACTCTGTCATGGTTTACTCACTCTTGACCCTTGACTCCAAACCTGTTTGAGTTTTTTTTTTGTTCTGTTGAACACAAAGGAAGATACTTTGAAGAATGTTGAAAACTGGCAGATATTAACTTTTGTTTATTTATTTAATTTACTGTGGATGTCAATAGCTGTTTATGTCCACCTATTTTAATGCACATTTTGCAATATGTGTGTGCGTAAACTTTATATATATTTTTATTTTTAGGTATACCGGTGTTTCCTGGAATAGCAATTTCCTTTTGAATTTAACAATTTTGATGATATTTTTTCTATTTTTTCAGCACAAACTGGAAAATACAACTTTCATTTATTTTGTTTGGCTCAGTCCCTTTATTCATCAGGGGTCCACACAGCAGAATGAACCACCAACTATTCTAGCATATGTTTTACGCAGCGGTTGCCCTTTCAGCTGCAACCCAGTACTGGGAAACACTCATACACCCTCATATTCTCATACACACTCTATTACTGTCACGATTACCAGCGATCGTATTCCACTAGATTGACTGGTTCTCACTCACAACAGACCATGGACTACAATTCCGGCTTTTCCTGGACTACATATTCAGACAAGCACTTCGCCTACACCCATGCTCACTCATCTAGATTGATTACACTCGCAACACCTGTGGACTATCAGAGACTGATTGCATTCACTACCTAAGCCACTCATTCACCCTTTCAGTTTGCCGAGTCTTGTTAGCTGTTTAGATGACATTACAACGCGTTAATCCTGTCTTGTTTTCCTGCGTTTTCGACTAAGCTTTGTATTCTTGTTCTCCCTGCCTGCCGCCTGCCTTTCTGACCTCTTGCCTGTATTCGACTGTGATTCTGGATTGTCCTCACACACCTGTTTGCACCTGTGTTGACCACCGCTTGCCTGACTGTGAATAAACCTGCATATTGGATCTTACCTCAGTTGTTAGTGTTACTCCCCGACGTTACAATTACGCCCCAAGTCTAGGGGAAACAACATGGGCATAATAAACAAAGAAAAACAAATGTGTTGGGGTGGTGGATTTCCCAAACAAAACAAAACATAAGGCAAAAGACTCCCTTCGGTCGACAACCAAACTCACACACTCAGTTGAGAGTATATATGAATAGATTCATTATAGAAAAATGTGGTTAATATGAATGAGCATCTCTTCAGGGTGACCACAGGCCAAAATAACAAACAAAAGAATCTATAAAGTAAATACACTAAATTACCAATTACTATTTAAAGAAAAATACAAAAAGCTTACCTTACTCCCTAAACATAAACATAGTCAAAAGTAATCAAATAAATAGGTAGGCCACCCCTACACGCTCAAACTCTCAAAATATTTTAACGTATGATGAACATCAGTACAGTATTGGTTGTTGGTCGTCGGCTCAAGTGCAGATCTTCTTGTGCGCTTTTAAATAAACACTGCTGAAGTGCGATTTAGCGCGCTTACGCAGTATGTCTCCAACATCTATTAGATTTGCTAGGAATTAGGGCTGTGCAATTAATCAAAATCCGATTTCGATTTCGGCTCATAACGATTATGAAAAACCATTAATCGAGATAAACGATTATTCCATCATATACCGCCTCCTTTCCAGTCCCACGTGAAAGTGACTGAAAGATGTGCTGTAATGTAACTTCTGCAGCATGGGATGCGCATCATTCATATTCTTAAAAGCGCGAAAGAGCACGCACTGTTGTGTGTGTGCGTGCTGCGCTTAGCCTCGGACAGGTATTGTGTGTGTGTTTGTGTGTGTCTGTGAGCGCGGTCTGGCTTAGCCTCAGACAGCAGAGCACACGCACATCTAACGTCATCCTAATGCGAGCACTTTAATGGTCAAATACATGCGCGGTGTTTAGTGATTATTTATATTAATCTTCATTTGTGTAATAAACAAACAAGTTGAGAATCAAAAGACACGTGAAAGAGAAACCATATCAGAGCCGCACTATTCTTAAAGTGACAGCGTGCGATATTCCTGCTGCTGTTTTTATTATTAATCAAACAACAAAAGGACAAAATCCACTCGTTGCTCCTGACTGAAGATCTTTTTTTTTTTTTTACAGTGAAGATGCTTAAAACACAGTTTTAACAGATTTAATAGCTCATTTCTAATAACTGATTTCTTTTATCTTTGCTATGATGACAGCACATTATATTTTATTAGATATTTTTCAAGATACTAGTATTCAGCTTAAAGTGACATTTAAAGGCTTAATTAGGGTAAATAGGCAAGTCATTGTATAACAGTAGCTTCTTCTGCAGACAATCAAAAATATATATTGCTGAAGGGCGCTAATAATATTGAGCTGTTAAAATAGGTTTCAAAATATTTAAACCTGATTTCTTTCTTGCTAAAATAAAAAATAAGCCTTTCTCCAGAAGAAAAAATATACTGTAAAAAATTGCTCTGTTAAACATAATTTGGGAAATATTTATATATAAAAATAAATTCACAGAAGGGCGAATAAGTTTGACTTCAACTGATAATCTTTTTGAATAATCGTGATTACAATTATGACCAAAATAATCGTGATCATGATTTTTCCCATAATCGAGCAGCCCTACTAGGAATATTTATGAATGTCTCCAATAACCCTACAGATCGGTATTAATGCGTCCTGGAGTAAAGTGAAACGGCAATAAACTCCAGCAAGATAACGTTAAAGTCATTGTATGCAGAATCACAGACCTTTATCTATAAATAAAGTATAATTATGGAAACTGTGTTCATCCTAATTGAAAGCTACATCGTGTTTGCTGGCCTCACGCATCACGCACCTGTCAATAAGTCAGTCAGTCTGTCAGCACGTCACCTTACAGTGTTAAACAAATAGCGCACAGCCCTACTAACTTACGGTAACAGAAAAGTTTGCGCTGTTATAATTCACTTACCCTTTAATGTGTTTTGGTGCGATATAACCCGCTAATAAAAACAACAACAACAACAACAATGAATGAATGTTTTGAATAAGAAGCTGTATTCGTGGCGGGATGAATTTTGGTGTGGCGCCCCGCCATGGAAGAACGAATGTAATGGAAACTGTGTTTTTTGTTTTTTAATTGGTGTTTTTTGGCTATGATACTTCCAAAATCTTTTTTTTTTTACAAAATTCTCAGCAAAAATAGCAAAAACTGTTCACGGATTCTGTCTGGCCCTGGAAATGTAATTGGGGAATTGAGTAAGCTAAATAGTCCGTAGTGTGCAGGGCTCAACAATAAGGACTGCCCGGTGGCCCAGGGATAGCGTGAGAGACACTTGGGACAGTAGACCGCATCATTACTGGCCCGATTGGGACAGTGCTGCCTTGCCACTAACATTTAACTTGTCTGTGACTATTTGTCAATTGCGTGCATTTTAAGTTTGTGCTTTTAGGTCTTTACACGCTACCTTTTCTGTAATGTCGTAAACAACATATTACTTTCCGGTTCCTCTTATCTGATGGATTTGACCATGCTATTTTTTTTTTGTAACCTGGTAACAACCAGTACAGCGTAGAAACGGCAACATAGCAGCAATATCGAATTATAAGGCTAAAAGAAAATGTCTTCTAACGTCTTAGCAGTAGACATTTACATGGGAAAAACATGACAAAATAAAAATTAAGTGAGCGAGTTTGCCGTCAGTTTGACAAGTCAGCCAGCTTTTGTTAAATAATTTCAAACCACAAATAAAATACCTCCACATTTTCCATACTGCTCTTTTTGTTTGCATAACACTTTTATTACAGTTTTTTTAAGTATTGAAATTGTAGATTCATAGACTTTATTTTTGACACATTATTTAAAATATGTGGCTAAAAAATAGCTATTAACTTCCCCTTTTTTTTTTTTGGTGGGGCCAGTTAAAATTTTGGCAGGGCAAGTAAAAATCTAAACCACTGGCCCGATCGGACCAGTAGAAAAAATCTGTAGCGTTGAACCCTGGTGTGTGTGTGTGTATGTGTGTGTGTGTGTGAATGGGTGTGTATGGATGTTTTCCAGTGATGGGTTGCAGCTGGAAGGGCATCCGCTGTGTAAAACATATGCTGGAATAGTTGGCGGTTCATTCCACTGTGGCAACCCCTAAATAATAAAGGGAATTAGGTGAAAATTGAATGAAATAACTCATCTAATTTTTATTATTGCTTTTATAAAACTGTGTAAACAACTGGACTGTAAAACATGACAAAAAAATTAGTATACTATTTATTTTTTGGTTTGACAGAAAGATGCAACTCAAGTTTAATGCTGAAGCTTAATGGTCCACAGTCATTTTACAGCTCTATATATGGTTAATGTTTCTCAACATTTTATTGCTCAAAGGAATTTTAGATGAAACATGCGCATGGTTAAGGTTAACAGACAACTCTAATTCTCAGAAAATATAAATAATAAAGGTGACATGGTGGCTCAGTAGTAGCACTGTGGTCTCGCAGCAAGAAGGTTGCTGGTTCGAGTCCCGGCTGGGTCAGTTGGTGTTTTGTAAGGAGTTTGCATTTTCTCCCTGCGTTCGCTTGGGTTTCCTTTACGCAATCAGGAAGTCGTAGGACGTTGAGTCAGGAAGAAAATCTGCAGAATGAAATATTTCTGGACCACTGAAGAATTTGCGACACACCCTCGATGTGCAAACGTGTGGACTGAAGATCTGCACAGACACGCAGCAGATGATGATGATGCAGTTTACCAGGGTATCCGAGTACGCTAATCGCTTAGTCACTAGATCATGAAACTTAACATAAATGTGTACCTGCTTAGTTGCCGTTTCTAACTGGGACATATAGGGAATGTTTAAATCTGGAAACTGAAAGTAATGTACTGCATTGCATTTTGGGAGGTCAAGGTTTGGCTGGTGAGCCTCATTCTACTGTCACAAAGCATTTAAAGGGACAGTTCACCCAAAAATTCAATTGTTACGGACTCTTCAGTTGTTTCAAAGCTTTAGGAGTTTCTTTCTTCTCTTAACCGAATGCTTCACTTTTTTTTTTTTCGGGACTATTATGTTAGAGTGAGAGAATATACTCACCGGCCACTTTATTAGGTACACCTGTTCATCTGCTCGTTAACGCAAATTTCTAATCAGCCAATCACATGGCAGCAGCTCAATGCATTTAGGCATGTAGACATGGTCAAGACGATCTGCTGCAGTTCAAAGCGAGCATCAGAATGGGGAAGAAAGGGGATTTAAGAGACTTTGAACATGGCATGGTTGTTGCTGCCAGACGGGCTGCTCTGAGTATTTCAGAAACTGCTGATCTACTGGGATTTTCACGCACAACCATCTCTAGGGTTTACAGAGAATGCTCCGACAAAGAGGAAATATCCAGTGAGCGGCAGTTCTGTGGGGGCAAATGCCTTGTTGATGCTAGAGGACAAAGGAAAATGGCCAGACTGGTTCCAGCTGATAGAAAGGCAACAGTAACTCAAATAAGCACTCGTTACAACCGAGCTCTGCAGAAGAGCATCTCTGAACACACAACACGTCCAACCTTGAGGCCAATGGGCTACAGCAGCAGAAGAGCACACCAAGTGCCGCTCCTGTCAGCTAAGAACAGGAAACTGAGGCTACAATTCACACAGACTCACCAAAACTGGACAATAGAAGATTGGAGAAACGTTGCCTGCTCTGATGAGTCTCCATTTCTGC